TACAAAATTTTTACTTGAGTTACTTTGCTTGACTTACAACTTCATTTCACAAAATTCCTAATTATTTATACACGCATTATTATCATATCGCATTGTTTGATATTCAAATAATTTTTCTAGCGTTCAATACAAGGTCGTTATTTACCTTTGTCTTGTTGCGTCAATGTTGATTATCGTATGTGCCTCTAAATTGCTTTTACGAAAGTTACAAGAAACTCGATCACAACATCCATTGGACGATCACGCAAGGAAACTGACGACGTATCGCGGATGTCGTCCGCTCATCTAAAAGTTCGGAAGCACCAACACTTCCGGCAGCGCGTTCTCGTTATCAGTGAAAGTCGTCCGTTACAAACGTGCATATAAATGGTGTCGGCGTGAGTTCGTTCGATGTCGAAGAAGCGACCCAACGGCTTTCCATTTCTGCCAGTCGTAATTTTACTTTCGGGAATACACTTATCTTATAAAACGATAATTCTACAGCAATGCATCAAAAGCTAATAGAAAGTGCAATATGCTTTTCTCTTTTCATGCTACAAAATCAAATAAAACGTAATTCTCGACGCTAATATAAATTAATTTATATTTTTCACATTATCAATATATAGTATTTCTATATCATTATGCAATTTTGAAATAAATGCCTGCGAAATTCTGATAATGACGGTTTAAATTATTCCTTGATAACACATTCAATTGATATAAAAAGCTTTTTGCTAATATCTTAAAGATACATAAGCTAGTGAAGAGGTATTATCTTATCATAATTATCACGTGTATCAATTTACAAAAATGTAGCTTAAATTACGTACGTAGAAAAATCAGATCAGTATCAGTTAACCAATAGATCAGTTATTACTCACTCGATTGTCAATTTCTTTATTTCCATGGATATGTCAGACAGGTTATCGGATGCCCATTTAATAAAAGGCGTAGATAAGTGTAACATTTGAATATTATTTCTGAAACCAGAAAATTTAAAGGTTAACGATCTCAAAAAATTATTTCATCATTTAATAATAAAATTATATTTTAATAATGACTATAAAGTGTATAATACTTAATAAATAAATAATTATAAGCACTATTTATTATCAAGAGTTATATAATTTTATGATATAAAGTTTTAGTTTCATGATGTTATTATATGTACTAATTACAATTATGTTTAATGTGCAATGTTTTATTGTGTCATTTTAATATGAATTACTATAATAATTAACATACTAAACAATAACATTAAATCCGAATATATCTTAATATACCGAGCAATAAAATTAAATTCTATAATTTTCAAAATTTTTCATTTTATAGTATTTTTAATGGCTTCAATGAACTACGCCAACGTTCATTAGCCTGCCGAAATACCATAACCGTTTACCCTTCACTAATTTTAGCTCTTACATAACATGCATTCAATGCTCAAATGAGCTTAATTGATGCTGTTATTTCTTCAAGAGACTAAACTTATAAAAGGGCATTTAATAAATGACATCCTTTATTCACGATAATTAATTATATTAACAAATTAGTAAACAACCTCAACATTAAATGTACAAAATGTCAATTTATATAATATAAATAACAATAACCTGTAATGATTTATATTTCATAGAAGATATAATACATATTATATCAATATTTAAACATTAAAAACATTAAAATGTGCAAATATCTTATAAACAAGGCCACATACATACATTGTAATAACTTATTTATAATCTTCAGATTAAAATTAAAATATAAATGTAAATAGAATTTATAAAAAAACGTCTTACAGAAATTTACTTATTTAACAAAAAAAATTTTATTATTAAAATAATCTATTTCAAGATAAATTTTATATTTTATTAATAATTAAATTTTTGTGAGAATTATTATTTAACATGCTATGCAATACAATTCTTTTTATATATTTTGAATTGTCTTTGGCCACTAAATTTTAATAAATATTATTTAAAAATATAATAAGAAAGAAGATAAGAAAATATAATAATGCACATATATTTAGCACAGTATTGCATTGTATATGTAATATAGGTCATATGCAAAATAAATCACGACGGCCTGAAAACAACGATGCTATTAATGACCATGAATTTTCTTGGTATAATACAATTCTAAGTATTCTGAAACAGATACAAGTCACTCCCATCTTCTGCAATTAAATAAAGTGCTCTAGTTTGCTATAGCTTTCATAGTAAGTTCGTTGTAACAGTACACGCAATTTGTAAGTGACCACTTTACTAATATGTGATAGCAGCAATACATTGGTTCCTCTTTGATCAGTTATTTTGTGAGACAATGGAAATATATATAATAAAGATAATATATATTTTAAATAAATAAATTATTTCTGTTTTATAATAAAAAATTAATTAAATGTAGAAATATTTATTTTCTATATTTGAATAAGTTAATGATTTTCTTAACATGCTTTTCTTAATATCTATCCATTTAATAAAATTTACTATTTTATAACACAACTCAGTTTATGATTAAACATTTTTTTTTCAAATTATAATGTTTACTTACTTTTTTTGAGCACGTAATCTTCAGAACACGACATTGTCGATATTCATCGACAGTCGACAGTCGTTACAAATGGTTTCGCTGACAATGATAAAAAGACAGATTAATTCACGCACTGAAGTACCACACTGACATACTATTAATACACATAAACAAGATATTCTTCAAACATTTATATAGTAATGACAAGCCGATAAGGCATTCCAATGCGTCCGATAGTAATCTTTAATATTACGTTTACAATTTCTCGTAACTGTACTAAACTTCATGACTATTAGCTATTATATAATTAACTTAATAATGTATAATTAAGATTTCAAATTCAAAAATCTGTTTTTATTAAAACTTATTTGTTACTTAATTTTTAATAAATCTTAATCTTAATCATGCAAGATCTAAATATAATACATAATACAATGCAAATAAAAGTAAATTAAGAGCGTTTTAATTTTAATTAAAATATTAATTGGAAAATTAATTATATTTTTATGAACATTTTATAAACATTAATTATATTTTTATAAATATTTTATAAACATTTCGACTTTGCTGAATTAAAATATATTGTAATTATATTGTAATTATATTGTAAAATTTATTAGTAAAATTTAACACACAATTATTGTTCAGATTTCCAATTCTATAAAGCAAATTGTTGAAAATACAATTTTTAAATAGTATTCTTCCTTCTCTTTCACTCTTTATCTTTCTCTTTTACTGTAACACATGATTATCATTGTTTAATAAAAAAATTTGAAGTCTATTTGTTTCTGAAATTTATATACTCAGTAGTTGCTTGCACTTAAGATCAAACAATCGCGACAAATAAATTAAAAATAAAGATGTGGAATTATGCATGTGCGCACGCGTATCAAACTAGGCATATTTAAATACGTTAGTACGAAGAAAGTGAAATATAGAGCGTTGCGTTTAATTGGCCAACTCTGTCACTGGCTAATAAAACATTAATCGTGAAACAGATGAGCACTTTCTTTTAAAATCCAAGAATGTGAATTTATCAACTAGCTTATTGGAAATATTTACATCAGTTTATATGCGTTCGCAAACATGCATTTCTCTTATCTCGGCAGATATCTTCTGATTTCAAACAAATTGTGATAACGATAATAAAACATCAAGTTTAATCAAAATTAAATTACTGTCTCATAAAGTATAATATTTATATTAATTCGTTTAATATTAAATTAAATAG